TTAATCATATGTAAATTACTAAATTACTAAATATGGAAAAAAAATGTCCTAAATATGAATATACTGTTTTTGTGTGTTCTCCCCTCTTGTAACTTGTGATATGATTCTCCATGGATCATATCACAAGTCATTAGCCCTTAAATTTGTAACTTATAGGCATTTAAAATTCAGAGCTCTTTAAATTGCTGATGTCTCAAAGTTTAAAGGGACTTTTTCGTCACTTGCTCAGAGGGGGTCGTGCATGGAAAGGGCAGCAATGCCACTGCTGATGGTGCAGGACTGGACTCTGTCTCATAAGGGAATGATAGATGAGCACAGCTGGTAGGGCAAATGCAATAACGGTTTAAAAGTCACCAGTTACAAGCTAAAAATTAAATGAATATATTGTTCAGTTCACAGGTGCCGTTGTGAGTTTCTGACCCTCCTCCAGGATCAGCTTCTGAGCACTGCTGCAACACAAGTATAACCGTTGTGTCTGGGAAATGTCCTTCACAAAGACAACACCTCTGTCCCTATGTGTTAGTTTATTGTGTGAGACCCCCCCCCCCCAAAAAAAAGAAAACACGCCCACGCACACACCCACCCACAATTGTTCAAAACGAAAAAGAAAAAAAAAATCCCGCCCGGCTGAGGAACAAAAGCCTAAAAATAAACACCAGGTTAAGTATCTCCCATGATTTATGCTAATTTCAAGAGCACATTCTTGGGTTCTGAGTTTAAATTTAAATATAAGGCCATGTATGCATCACTACATTCTTATTAGGATTTTACTCTCATCTAATGAGCCCATCCTTTTTATACCATTCCCTAAAAATTGACCAGCAATAAAGCTGACATTAAACACACATTAACAGACCATCAGCATCTTACAGCTCACTTGTACTCTAATGCTGACCATATTGAAACCCACTCTACTTGTTGTTCAGGCTGCACCGAGTTGCTGGGACTTCTATAAATCATTAAAGAAAAAAAAAAAACCCACAGTGTCGACATGGAGCTGAAACGATGACAGCACCTGTGGGGCCGCAGAATGCAGAGGACAGGCTGCAGACTGCTCCTGGCTGTGCCATTCAGCATCGTTAAACAGCAGTAAATGAAAAGGGAGATGCGAGTTTGTTTCTCTGCTCTGTGTGTGTGTGTGTGTGTGTGTGTGTGTGTGTGTGTGTGAATTAGAAAACAGTGTGAGCAATAATAAAGAGATTGTGCAGAACTCCGCAACAGGATTGTGTATATCTGTGTGTCCATATCCATGCACAAGTCATAACCCACAGCAATGAATAAATAAAAAAGTGTGTGTGTTTCAGGTTTATATTCACATGTTCTAAGCCGGTCGATTTGTGGCTTATGCCTTTGCCTCACTCTGTGTGTGTTTATATTTGCCTTTTCCCTCCTGCAGAGAGAAAAGTGTGTGTGGCCGCAGGGCTATCCACATCCCCTCTCTCATGCTTGAAGCTACCTGCTGAGGGACTAATCCATTGAATCGCTGGCATTTTGGTGTCCTGATCAGTGTAGAGATGATGAGAGGAGGCAAAAGAGATGGACTGGTAGCTGAGTCATCAGCTGTCAGCAAAACAACGGCAAAACTCATCACTCAGATGAGAGCAGAGGACACACACAGAAAAAAAATCTGCTGATTTTAGGACAAACATGTCTATATGATTGCACCGATCACTTATGAACAGCAGAGGGCAGTCCATTAACACTGAATAGGCAGCAGCATGGTCAACAACCCTTGAGCAGTCTGATGAAGCCTAAGTTACTGTCCACTGATCCAAGCCGCTGCAAAACGTTTACATTTGCACACCACGATTGGTGGCTGGCCTAACCCCAACCCTTCTGAAGGTTACAGGATTTTTAAGAGGGAGGCTTGCATGTGAGCACAGTGCAAGTTAGTCAAATACATTCATTTTTGCAGCACCTGCAACAAAAACCTGGAATAGCAAACATGCTGCTTGTATTGTGTGGCCAATGCTGACCAGGAACAGAAATGCATGCATTTTCAGAAACGCGTACAACATTTACTGTTTCTGCTTTCAGACCTCTGAAGCAGACATCATTATAGGAGATAACCCTAACTTAACCCTATCTGCTGGAGAAAGGCAAAACTGATTTTTCTTTTTCGGATGTGTCATTTTAAACAATAAGTTTATTTGTTCCCTGATTGCCAAGACTTAGGATAACAGTAAGAGCAAAAATTACATTCTGTGCTAGCCTAGAGTTAGAATCAAGGTTTTCACCTTTGATGACTTAGACCTCAGATGGTGATGTCAGCACACTAATTTGCTGACACAAATTTTCCTAAAACTTTGGCACTACTGTGAAAAACAAACAATGTGCTGAGGGGAGCTTGCAAGATATTCATTTTTGGGGAAGCTAAAAAACCTGGAAAATATAAAGCTAGTGTAGGTCGAGAAGTAGAACGTTTCAACATGTCCCTAAGGTTTGGAAGAGAAGTTTTGGTTTTTGGGTTGTTTTTTTTTTTTTTGCTTGTTTTATCAGTTTGGATTGTTAACTCGCAACTTTTTAATCAGCTTTACTGCAACGTTACGCCCACACCATACAGGACATGATGTCGTTGCTCGCACTGACAATAAGCACACAACCCACAGGTGCCTTTGTCTGCTGATTTAAGTCAGAACAGTGTGTGTCCTTAAAATAACGCTAAAAAAGAGAAACGTCTTCATTCAGCATTTCTGCAGTAGTAGAAAGGAATGAGCTATTTATAAATTGATATTACTGCACTAGCAACCAGGCAAGCTCCAACAGCTCAGCCAGTCATTAGGATCTTTTTATGTATGGTTCCTGTCAAGAGTTTATGTGCACTCATTATGGTCATTGTTTTAACAATAATGGGATTTCATTGAATTCTCCAAACTCCCCTTTCTCTGTGGCTCAGAGACCGCACAGCATGCAATTGTAAGAGTCAAGTTTCTTAATTTTCTCTTAGTGATCATGACTGACTAAAGCTGGGATCTTCCCTGGGCTTTTACCGCACTCATTGGACTGAAAAACATAGTGAAATAGACCAGTGTGATCAATGCATATCTGAAAAAAACAAAAAGCAAAACAGAAATGTCTCCCCTGCACCCTCTACCGTCAGCCAGGTTTTCACCCACCCCTGAGATGGGTGAAGAAAGAGGCCCCAAATCGACACCTTCAGTCTTGACTAAAGTTTGTGGGTGATCATATGGACAATCATAAAGACTTTTATGTTCACATGAGATAAAAATGAAGGTATCTTGCCATAATTATCAGAGTTTGAATGAGTACCTAAAACTGTACTGCAGAGCATGATGGGGGTAGCATCATTTCCTGGGGCTGTTTTGCTACCAGTGACTCCGGCACATTGAACAGAGTGAATGCAATAATAAAGTACATTAAAAGCTCATTGGAGAAATCTGGTTAAAACAGGCCGAATAGCATTTGAAAACCTGAACTCTGACCATTGTTACAAATAGACCATTTAACTCACATATTAAATCAGACCAGTGCCAGAACATTTTTGATGGCTTTTGAACTTCTTTTATTTCAGAAAACCAAAACTTGTGAACTGCACTCATTTTGAACTCTTATAAAAAGGTGTATTTTATAAATAATTATTCCACAGGAAAAAAAATAACCGTTTGAAAAAAAACATTCAAGCCCAATACTGTAAAAGTAACACTCCATGTAAACTCCAACTGTAGGCAATCAATCCCTCTGATGGAGATTTATCCTGATTTGGGTCTGAATCAGTCTGTACCAGTGTCAGTCTGGATTTAGACCTCTTGACAAATAAAGCTTGACCAAGAATTAAACTGGTACCTCAGTCTCAGTTACCATCTGAGACAGACAGTCTGTGCATGTGCCTTCAAAATCCAACATAAATGTCAAAGACTTTCCCTTTGTAATGTTGTGTTAACAACCTCTTTCATCCTGCAAAGCATTCTATACACAATCTTATCTAATCTTATCTGCCTGAATAACATGCACACACACACTCATAATTATTTTTTATCCCCACCAACAGCAGGGAGAGAAAGGCTGGGGAAAGTTCACATGAATTCAGCCATGCAGTAAAAAGCTCCAAGGATTGCCTTTGTGAGCATTTTCTTGCACTTTTGACTCTTTTCTTCCTTTAACTCTCCGGTAAGCTAAATGCTTCAAGCTAAACATAAGGCAGAGGAGCCATCTTAGAGTTATCAAAGTGCCTTTGGCACTACATTTTCAACACAAAGGTAATAGTGACCAAACAATTTTCCTCAAGCTGGGGAAGTCTCAGGCTCCTCTATGTAAATATGAGTGTGTACTGTTTATATGTCTATTAATGGGGCTCACACACTATAGCACTTCTTTTCTATGACTGTCCTGAGCTAAATCATTGCAAAGACTGACTTAATTTTTTTTCTTCCCAATAACAATTTAGAAAAACCATCAACTTTCGTCCAAGCCCCGGAAATGTCCAGAATTCCAGTAATTTAGTAAGGTCCCTAACCTCCCTCCTAAAAGCCCCTATGACCAGGGTAAACACACTTTATAGTAATCGAACTGTGCCATACTGGAGCTGTCAGTCAGTGGGCACATGGCCAAACCACAGTAAAACCCGATGTTCAGCGATCTTGTCTTGTCAGTACTGTGGGACACTCACATCCAAGGCAGACATTATCGACCACCAGAAAATGTCACAGAGAAGTCCTATAGCTATATCACACATGACAAGATATAACGAAAAAGGCCAAAAAGTAAACTGTATAGCAATGAGCAATGGCCCACTGATCACCGCAGTGGCAGGATTTTAGATTATATGTCACAAATGTTCAAACAAAAGAGGAAATTTTTGGTGCTGGCACCAAAAAGATTTTAGTTAAAGCCAAACGGGAACTCTCCAACTTTGCACTTTTTTCACACCAATTTTGTTCATTTGAGTGTCATTAAATCACGCTAAGCAAATGGTCAGAAATAATCTCATCAGTGGCCCTTATTCCAGAAACCGGTATGAGGCTGTGTGGTCTGAAACTTACTCCGACACTTGGCACAGCGGCCCTTGTCGTACTCCAGCAGGTCCAATGTCCGGCTTCGATCGCTGACTGATCGCCTCTGCCCGCTCTCCCTCAGCCGAGCGGCCTCCTCTTTGGCGTACACCCCGAGCTCCTGGGTGTAACGCCCATACATCTGGAAATGGACAGTCATATTTTTAGGTTTCAAGGAACATACATATTAAACATGCCCCTAGACGTCAGTAACAAATCAAAAATACAGTTCAATGAGGATCACCAAAAGTCTGTATCAACACAGGAGGCGTTCAGGCGCAGTCTTAAGCGTAGGTCACCTGCCTCTTACAACTGCTCAGAGCTTGAAGTGCAAAATAAATAGAAAATGAAAAACAGATGTGATGCTCTGGTTACTTGGAGCTCCTGGTTACTATTATGTGTACAGTGAAAACATGGCATGAAAACTGCAGTGCAACACTTTCTGTGTAAATACAACATGAGATACACTCTGCTGAAATTCTGCCCTATGCTTGTGATGCATTAACTTGAGTTTTGATAGCGGCTGCTCCACTCAGCATCCCAGGCCACATTCTTCCACCAAAGGATAACTCTTTTAAAATGGCGCCATTCAAATATTGCTGTTGATGCGTAAGATCAAGTTAGGGTTAGGTCTGGGTAAATTTAACCACAGTTAAGCATAAAAGATTGATTTCATTAAGAAAAGATTGACTTTCAAGAAATGTTACACTGTAGTATTATATAATACTCCTTATGACTCAGTGTTTGTTTACTCGATGGGTTCCTCCTGTGTGTTTGAGATCTTACTGTATGTCTATTAGCTTGGTTTGCGTCCTCGCTTTTTCACAGGTTTACGTAATAAATTTATGCTCAGCAATAGACTCAGTGACTCCTTACTGGCTGTAATCTGTGACCTCAGTACAGGAACCTTCCATCTCAAACTGACTCCCTCCAAAAGCTGCATCACTCACTCACACACACACACACACACACACACACACACACACACACACACACACACACAAAAGTCAAGTCAGCAATACAAGAGGCAGGAAATGTCAAGTTTTATGCACCACCTAGATGCCAGCTCGCCCTCCCATAGTAATCTTGGGTACTGGACAGGAACTGGGGCACTGATGATTTCCTCTTGGCCCCCGCCCCCTCCACTCTCAACAGAGCAAGGCTTTTAAAACTTCCTGAAGCAGGTCATGCAAGGCCATCAAGGCCGCATCAAAGTTGCTGTGTGATGTTCAAAATTTGGATACTTATAAACCCAATTCTTTACATGCAAACACATTCAGACTTTTGCAAAATGTTGCACACATCACAGTGTTAGTCCAAAGTGAACAGGACAAATAAGGAAATGGGGTATAATGAAGCCTCATTCCTGAAGTGTTTCAGTATATACTTTCATCAGCACTCACTTGGTTGTGAAAGGTCCCAAAAAGTGTATCGGACTATATTTGGTCATGTTCAATAGAAGCAAGAATAAGAACACCGTGCTAGATACTCTACAGTTCAAGCTGTCCCTTTGGGGATCAGCAATGTACTCTCATTACAATGGGTAAAATCTACAACGTAGTGGTGGAAATAACAGTGTTAGAAGTGTAACGGAGGTTATTGTTGGTGGTGGTTTAGTTGTTTGAGAATATTGCTGCCTATAGTAAATTACAAAAATACTGACAGCCGCCAGTGCTGCCCCTCAGCCTCCTAGTAGATTGTATCAATTTGAAAGTCCTAGGTGACTTTCTTCTCGTTGAGGTCAAAGTCACCGAGATTTGAACTTATCAAGATTTTTAGCAGACGCACTGACAATATCTCATCGCTTCATTTTTGCGTTATCGTGTCCACAAAGTTGAGTATCAACACTGCTCAAACAACAATTGGCATCATGTCTTTTTATACTGACATCGGGTGTCCACTGTAGACTTAATGCTCAAGTATTTTGGACAAAATTCACAGTCAGACTCAAACTTGGTAATTCTTTAGGTACTTTTTGGCTGCTCCTTTATTTCCAAATGGGTCGCCACACCAGCCGTTTGATTTGGCACAGACCTGACGTTTGTGTATCCTCCCAAAGTTGAACTGGGGATGTGTCTAATAAAACACAATGAAGTGGAATCACATAACATGACTTTTCTGTGAAGTTGTAACAGGCTCTCCAACTCTACTTCCTCCTCATCGTTCCATGAATCCCGCTCCCACTCTTCTTCCTGCTCAAGCTTTCCTGCAACATCAATGGAGGCACCGCACTACACGGCCAAGAGTGCCTTTACATTCAGAGGTGAACATTAACTTAATGGTTCAATTGCATGTGTTATAAAAGTTAATGAAGTTAAACATTTATGGAAATAAACCACTGTGAAAGCGCTGCAAAATTAACAGCTGCTCTTACAAGCAATAAAAACAGTTAAAGGGCCTGAAAGGGGCTCCGTTAAATACGTGATGAAATATGTGTTGTGGTCTGACTGAGCATGTTTAAAATGTCATGTCCTGTGATTTTATTTAATTTATTTATTTAGTTATATTATTACAGGGTTTTTTTCACCATTAAAAGAGATCAGATTTTTGCTATTGGAAAAAAATCTCAAGCGTTTTGGTTAAAAACTAAATGCAGCAAAGAAGAACCGTGTAAAACTCACTATGTGTGTGTGTGTGTGTGTGTGTGTGTGTGTGTGTGTGTGTGTGTGTGTGTGTGTGTGTGTGTGTGTGTGTGTGTCGAGCGCACTAGTGCGCGTGCGTGCCCGTGGACAGTGTGAAATATAGAACAGCCAAATATTGAATAATTCATGCTGAGCACAGACACCAACTATCATCAGTTTTAAATTGGAAATACTCGTTGACATGGCCTTGAAGGAAAAAAAAGAAAGAGAAAAATCATTCAGGGCACATTCCTTTTACGGGTCACATGACTGTGTTGTGTGTTCACTTTCTTAATAATCAAATGTCCAGATCCGATATAGAACGATTCCGTGCACGGAAAACAGACACAGGAACCAGGATAAAATTTCTTGGAAAGTGGCGCCTGTTGGCTGACAAAAGAAACTGTTTTGATAACATACAAAGGGGAAAAGCATGCAGATCGACTCTCACACACACCCTTACACCCACGGGCAATATGCACTTGTATACACCGTCTGCCATGCGCACAAAAAAAAAAAAAAAATCTGTGGACTATTTTTAACCACACACACCCATGTACATTCTTGCATAAGTTTGTCTGAACTGCAAATCCCGTATAAGCTGACAGGTTGGCGCAGGGTGAGTGAGGAGCAGCACAGGACTTCAAATTGTAGCCATGGTTCAGTCAAAACAGGAGGTCAAAACAGGTCTTTCAGTTCACAGAAAAGGTGCCTTTGAGTCACATTTATTGTTGGCTCCGGTCACATTGTGTCTCTTGTTACAGCCGTGCTGTGAAAAGGTTGACTACATCTTGTGCAAGTTCTGTCCTTATCAAGCTCGTGTGGGTTCTGTGAAGCCATAGCAGTTATGTCACTAAAGTCAATGAAATTCCAGGAGTAACCAGGAGCCCCAGTAGTGACTTTATCAAATAGATCAGGTATCAGCTAACAATGACTGATAAAGATTAAATCTAGGCACTTAGATGCAAATCTAAGTGCGTCTAAGTCCCTGAATATGTAGATCTATGAAGTGACAAATTAAGGAAGTATGTGTTCAGGCCAAATTCAATTAAGTGAACACCTGACTTTAAGACAGTGTGCAGCAGAAGATTTCCAAAGGCCAAGGACTTTTTTTAGGTGGTAAAATATAATTTTCCAACCGACTGAGATTAAAGTCTTCCACCTTTCGAAACCACCAGTGTAGTCACTGAAATAGCCCACATATTTATCTGACAGGTGCTTAGCATAAGCAAATCTTCAATATTTTTTTTGTCAACCAGTTTCCTTCCAGTGTTCCTCATGTTAGTTCCTGAAGCATAACTGTATAAAAAGTGCTGCTTCACTGAGGAGCACCTGAAACTGCCCGGCTCAGTCTTATCAAATCATCTGGACTTGAAGTAGGTGTCTAAACCTGTAAATGGCAGGTAAGAACCAAAGGCAATGTTAGTGGAAGTCTAATCAAGTCATTAGACTTCCACTGTTGTATTAACACTTCATTTTCAAGTAGCTGTTTGAAGTAGTTGCTTTTCTGTGCATCATTATTGGATTTAAGTCAAGATTTCACAGCTGAGCTTATTACTCATCATGCATTTGTCACATAGTAGTTGGAAGTTGAAATATTAAATATAATGGTATAATTTAATAATTCATCTGTGGAAGGTCACATGTACCTACAGTTGTCAAAACACACATGCGCATGTATCCGTCAACTAGGGCTGCTCAATTAATTGAATTTTAATCACAATTACGATCTGGGCTTTCATGATCATTAAAAATGATTGAGCCAATTATTAGCCCCTCCCTAATTTATCCGCGACACCTTAAAGGCCGGTCCGTGAAAATATTGTCGGACATCTTATGCCATCAGCTTGTCCTCGGTCATGGTTTCCTTCCGCATAAAGCTTTGCAAAAATTGCATAAAAAGCGCTTGCAGGAACAAAAACATAATATTCCAGAAACACGCTTTGCCGATCCGATCAGCTGTTC